AAGGGTTATCAGCAACTAGATTATTTAATTGTTCAAAGTAATAATTAAAAGAGATAATATCAAAAGAAGTAGATAAATAAAAGGCAAGGGAGTATTGAGTATATTTAGCAAAAAGTGTTTGAATAATTTGTTTAGGGTTTTTGAGAGGTGTGCTATATTAGCAACTAAAAATAATATCACATGCTACAGCTTTAGCTTGATTATAAGTTAGGTTTGTAATTAGAGTTATGTGAGCAGTAACAGTTCGACAACAATTTATTATTTAACTTAAAAAATTGCTTTCAACTGAAACTAATATCCAAAAACCTAAAAACTATTCTAAAAGATGAATTGAATATATTTGTCTTGCAAATTTCTATATACTTAATTGCAATTCAAAAGAATATCCTCATATTAAAGAAGATAAGCATAACTTTTCTGCTTTGTTTAAACTAATCTTTAAACAATCTTATATCACATACTCAAAAAAAGATAGTGAAATCTGAAAACTCCCTACAATTGATCATTCAATTTTTGAAATTGATAGAAAACATGAAGATAATTTCTCAAAACCAATTCTTTTAAAATTAATTAATGAATTAGCTGATCAAGCTGAGGAGTTTATCTGCAAACAAAATAAAACAACTAAATATCTATAATGATAAAGTTATTACTTCTATCAATACCTCAATATTTACTATCACACAGCTGCAGAAAATCATAATATACATAACTTTACAAAAGAAAAAGCAATTGACTACATAACTACAAAAATAATTAATACTCATTTACTTTGATATGATTAAAGAGGAGCAATCAATACTATAACAAATTATTAAATATTACAAAGATGAAGCTCTTCCTGAAGCTGAAAACTTCTTCTTTAATAAATTTAATATAAACTTTATAGAACCTTCTTTGCTTGAAGATTCTCTTTACTTCTTAGAAAATTCTTTTCAACAATAGAGTCTTCTAAATTCATAAATATAGCTACTACCTTATTAAAAAATACACTCATTGTAGTTAATAAGGAGAATAATATAAGTAAACAGGCAGTAAAGCCTATTTACATGAAGGACTAAGTTTATAATAGTTAGACTTAACATACAGAGCAGACTTTAGTATTCTCCATATCTGTGAGAGCTAAGAATACAGTGAGTGCCTTAGAAGATTCAAATTTCAATATATATTTACTAATATCATTTAGATCATATCATGTATACAATTTATCTAATTCAACTTCAACTCAAAATATAACTAATATATGCTATAATCTATTTCTTCAACAATACAACTTACTACTACTCAAAAAAAATGAAACTCTAGGCTCTTTTCTTATACATTTATCTAATCATTCTTTCTCACAACTAATTCTTATTTCTATAAATCAAACTTTTACAGAAACTTATATCTATCTTAATTTGCACAAACCAATTCTCAAGAATCATCAAATTCTAGAATCAAACTAACTTCTAAACTACTACAATTTATCTATATGTATAAGCAAATTCCAAACTCTACAAATCAATACAGAACTCTTTATACAAACTCAACAACTAACTACTCATCAACTAATTTCTTCTAAAAATAATAATTTACTAACTAACAATCTATCTTCTTTTACATCTAATTAAACAATTAATAAAATATTGAAAACAAATTCTTAGATATAAATATTGCTTTAATTAATATTAATAGCCTCTCTACACCCTTTAAACAACTTTTTTTACTAGATCTAATTAGTGAAAACAAGTACAAGATTTTTGGTATTTCAAAAACATATCTGTTGACAAAAGTGGAAAAGTTTCTTAATAAGGAAATACTAACTTATATAAGCTTTTGGAGCTCTTATACTAACTCTCAGCAAGCTGATGTTAGCATATTTATACACTACTCTATATCTAAATATATTGCCAGATCACATAACTTTAATAATCATATTATAGGCATTGATTTACATTTCAAAAACAACTCAATCTGTCTTTTACAAATCTATCTACCAACTGCAAAGAAAAAACAACTTTGAAAAGAAATATAAGAAGAAATAATTAAACTATATCTAAATACAATATACAAAATTATTATAATAGGTGACCTTAATATTGTACCAAACCCTCAATTAGATAGACTTCCTGCTAAAAAATCTTCAATTCCAGAATAAAACTTATTAAATTTCTAGTAAGTCAATAATTTAAAGACACATTTTGCTTATTCTTTTCTAAACTATCTAAGTATACATTCTCAAGAACTAATTCATATAGTAGAATTGATTATATTTGGACCAATATTAGTATAACACTAATTGACTATACAGATATAATATCTGTACTTCAATTAGAATATAACTACCAACTAATAACAATAGAACTATCATTTCAAATTAGCCAATCTTCTCCAACTAAACAAAAAACTAGGAAAAGCTTTTTATAGAAAAAATGCAACAAAAAACAACTTGAAAAATATGCAAATTAAACTTCTCAAAGCTTACAACAACTTCAAAACCAACTAACTAACATTAGCTTACAAAACCAACTCAACTTACTTTGGAACAAAATATATAAAGCTCTATCCAAAGCTACTACTAAACATATTCCTTTTAAAAAAATTAATACTATTTATAGAATTAAAGAGCATTCAAATACTAAACTCTCTTCTCTATACTACTACTTCAAACAAATTTAGTTTCTTAAAAATTATTTTAATCATGAAAACTTTTACTCACTAATTACCATATACAACTAACAATATCAAGATAATCAACTTCATAACTCTTCTTCTTCTCTCTCAACAATTAAAATTGAATTTCAACAAATTAAAAATACATTAAATTTTTAACAAAAGTAACAAACACAAGAAGAAATTCAACAAAAATTGAAGAATTCAACCAAACCTTTAAAAACTCACTAAAAATTTTCTATTGAAATATACTTAAAAAATATAACAATATAAATATTGATAGATTAAATACTAATAACAATACTCTTCTTACATAACAACAACAAATCTAATAAGCAATTCACTCTTACTTTAAGAATATTTTAATGAAAAACTACTTTTACAAATCTCTCCAATATCTGATTACTATAAATTTTATAAACTATATTCAGAAAATAAAAAATATTTTTAAAATCTTTTATTAGAAATCTCAGAAGAAGAATGAACCTCTGTTATCAAAAACTTTTCTCTACAAAAAGTAACTAGTCCTTCAGAAACTAGCTATGAATATATCAAATATACTTGTTCTAAAGCTTAACATATTTTAAAGCAATTTGTTAGTTGTTGTCTTCATCTACAGAAAGTTCAAACAGTTTAGAAAACATCTAACATATTCTTAATTCCAAAAAAATCTATATAGGATTATACACTAAATCAAATATGAACTATTTCTATTTTAGAACTTCTTAAAAAATGCCTAACTAAAATATTTACTCAATATTTAAATAAAATTATTGCTCTACACAAGCTCTAACTTTGCTGCTACTAAAAACTTATCCACTCATATTCTAATACAAATTCTCTGTAACACTATTGAACATTATAAACTTCACAAAAAGGAAGCATAGATTCTTTTTTAAGATATATCAAAAGCATTTGATAAAATTAATATCATACATTTTTAGAATACTTGTAAAAGAATTGGAATACCTCTTCAAAGTATAGACTTCATAACTGAACTATATATACAATGCCAAACTCAAATAATTACTACTTTTGGTCTTACTTCTCCAGTTAATATCAGATCTAGTATTGAATAAGGAAAAACCTACTCTCCTCTACTATAGAAAATATATTATAATCTTATACTTTTTTTTATAAATAACAAATATCAAAATTCTTTTCTAAAAATTTAAACACTATTACCCCTTAAAACAATCTCTTAATACTACTCTACACCTATAACTATTCTACTACTAGCTTATATAAATGATACTACATAGTATACAAAAAACTTGCAAACTATGCAAAATATTCTTAATGATACTAATAATCTATATAAACTAAACAACATTAAAATTAATCCTACTAAATCAGATCTTTTACATATTCATCCCAAATTAATAAGCCAACAAGTATACTAATAACTTCAATACAATAATCAAATAATAATATCTTGTAAATATACAGAAGTATTAAGATATCTTGGTATCTTTTTAGATAGCAATAGCTCAATACAACCTACATATGAAGCTATTCTTAACAAAATAGAAAATTTCCTTTCTTTAACTTGATACAAAAAACTTATACTAACTCAAATATCTAAATTATTCAATTTAATTCTACAACTATCCTTTAAATATCTTTTACAAATAGTTACTCTCTATCTTTCTCAACAAACCAAACTCTTTTGTCTATTCACAATATATACTAAAAAATCTCTTTCACTTGCAAAAAATACAAATAATATAATACTAACTAATCCTTTATCTTTTAATCTTTCTACACTTTCAAATATAATTCAAAAAGTCTCTGTATCAAATATAGATCGACTTTTTAATAATAACTCTTTACTTAAAACAATTTTTCTACTAAGGATAAAGGATTAGCTATACAAAATATAACAATTCTAACTTACTACAGAACTATTAATACAATACTCTCACAAAGTCACCAACTTTAATTTAATCTTCCAAATTTCTGAGTTTACTGAAGACCAGTCAATAAGCAAAAGTCACAGATCTATTAAGGATCGTCAAGAAGCTCTTTGGAAACTTATTAGCGAGCTCAAATCTAGTTTTAATAGCTCACAGCCAGAATTACATGCCTTATTTGAGAAGTCTATACAGTTGTCAAATGATAGTTATCGACGAATATCCCAGTGTTACCAATCAGGAATTAACAGAATGACTAAGATCGTTGAAGAAGATATCTACCATACCACTGTTCAAGTAAAAAAAGGATGAGGTAAACTGGATGTTGTACCTATGAAGGTGCCAAACAAAAAGAAACGTGGAAGAGAGGAAACTGACCAAACACTAAAAGTAAAAGTAAGTAGCTTATCACAAATTCCAGAATCAGATGATATGGAAGTTGAAGAAACAAATGAAGATTCGCAGTCAGCTCTATTATCTGAAATTGTTATATCTTCCAAGTCATTCGAATTCACATTCCGAAAACTATATATAGTGCACAAGACTACGCCCGAGGAAGAAAGTATTTTGAAAACGCTTGAAGAATATAAAGACTCTACTATATTACCTAGAGAAGTTACTAATAAGCTTGTAGAAGATCTATCGCAATTTGAGTATTAGACAGCAACTCGAATTTGGAATCGGTGGTATAACCGATATAATAGATCGAAATTAATATCTATAAACTAGAAACCAAAATTATTGTAAATTTTTATTAAGTATCTGGTATTATTTATTCAATAAAAGCTCGAAAATAATAAAAAAAGATAAAACAAAATATAGTTGCTTTGATAGTTCGTTATAAATTATTGTAAATTTTTATTGTTAACAGTTAAGTATTATTTATTCAATAAAAGCTTGAATACAATAAAAAAAGATAAAACAAAAAAAAGTTGATTGATAGTTTGTTATACGTCTAAAAAAAAAAAAAAAAAAAATCTGA